CACCACCATCACCACCATCACTACCACCACCATCACTATCACCACCACCATCACCACCACCATCACCACCACCACCACCATCACCACCATCACCACCATCACCACCACCACCACTCCTGTGCTGATAATCTCATTTGGAAAAGAGTTGTCTTTATCATGTTAATGCGACAGGATTCTTGTAAACTGTGTTTTCAGTCAATCTCTTTTGAGCTATAAAAGAAATTGAGCAAGCAAGCTAGTAAGCAGAGATGGGGGAATTGATGCCAAGCCACACGGAGATCTTTAAGGAACCAGGAAACCAAAATTGAAGAGACAATACCCTTCCCCCGAGAGCTGACACAGAGAGAACACTACCCCCTAAAGCCAGCGCCCTGGATTTGGATTTAAAGCTGTTTGAACTGCAAGGCTGGTGGTTCAAGCTCACCAGCTGCTCCTTGAAAACCCTATACAGGTCACTATGGGAGTCCTGGTGTGGCACTGCAGGAGAAGTCACCACAAGGTCAGTTTGAACTGCAAAGTTGGCAGTTCAAACCCATGAGCTGCTCCTTGGAAACCCTACACTATGAGTCGGAACAGACTCGGTGACACTTAACAAAAACAACATAGTATATTAACCCATTATATTATGTATGTGTTTGTATGTATGTATATGTATATATATAGTGGGTTAAGGAGGAGATTATCTATCTATCTATCTATCTATCTATCTATCTATCTATCTATCTATCTAGGACTCCTGGTGTGTTGCTGTGGGTTAAAGCACTGGACTGCAACTTTGGTTTGAACCACAAGGTTTGCGGTTCAAACTCATCAGCTGCTCCTTGGAAACCCTATACAGGTCACTATGAATTGAACCTGGACTTCTGGTGTGATTCTGGGCATCAGCACTGGACTGCAAAACAACCACAGGATCACTATGAGTCAGAACCGACTTAATGGCACTTAAAAATAACAACATGAGTTGAAAATGACTCCCTAGCACTTAACAACAGCAACAACACACACACATATATATGTATACAGGAGTCCTGGTGTGGCACTATAGGATAATGCACTGGACCATGAGGTTGGCAGTTAGAACCCACCAGCCAGTCCCCAGACAGAGCTACTATGAGTTGGAACCAACTCAATGGCACTTAACAACAACAACATAGTGTCGTAGGTTACACATTGGGCTACAAGATCACCAGGTGCTCTGTGGGAAACAGATGAGACTTTTGGCTTCTGTAAAGATTTACAGCCTCAGAAACTCTATACAAGGTTGTTATGAGTGAGAACGACTCTATGGATATATATATATACACACACAGAGACTCCAGATGTGGCACTGTAGGATATGCACTAGACTGCGAACCATAAAGTTGGCATTTCAAACGAATCAGCTGCTCCTCGGAAACCCTATACAGGGTCACGATGAGTCAGAACCTAATTGATGGCACTTAATAACAAATACACATATATATGTTAAGTGCCACCAAGTTGGTTCTGACTCATAGTGACCCTGTATAGGGTTTCTGAGGAGTGGCTGATGAGCTTGAATTGCTGACCTTACGGTTAAAACCGACTTTGCAGTCCAGCGCATTAACCAGCAGCAACACACACACACACACACACACATATATATATATACACATACATATACACATATATATGACAGATAGATAGACAGACAGACAGATAGATAGATAGATAGACAAATAGATATAGAGATAGACAGATAGATAAACAGACAGACAGACAGATAGAGAGATAGATAAAGGAGACCTCTGGTAACATAGTGGGTTACAAGTTGTGCTGCAAACTACAAGATCAACAGTTTGACTCTATTAGCCCCTCCATAGTAGAAAGATAGGCTTTCTGCTCCCATAAAGGTTTATAGCCTTGGAAACCCTATACAGGGCCGCTGTGATTCAGAACAAACTTGATGCCACACAACTACTCGGTAATGTACTTACTTAGTGTCTCTGGTGTTTGTATTTTCTGTCTGTGCTCACTAGAAGGTCCACAAGGGCAGAGGGCACTTGTCTACTTTGTTTGCTCATGATTTCCAAGAACCAAAGCATGTTTGTTTGTTGAACAAACTATCTAGTCTCCATCATAACCTCCATTTAAAATGTGTCATCACCTTTGCTTACTAGATCCTTCCAGGCATAAGTAGAACGTATTAAGCTTTTCCCTTTGCACATATCAACTTTGGATTTGTCACTGACATTGGCAAGAGTGTGAAGTAAAATAGTAGCCATAGCCTTGAGATGGAAGAAGGAATCAAAGAGGATGAGAAAATGCAAAGAGTAAAAGCCCAGAGTTCAGTCAGCCCCAGAGACAAGCATCCTGCACACACTTGCTGGACTAGCTGCCCTGTACCTGGTCCGTGCACCAGTACCAGAGGGAAGGGATGGACATTCCAAGCAGGATTCCGGGCCATGGGAGATCAGAGTTTACTGGGTCTCGGAAAATATGGAAGGCGTCTTCTCGGGGCAGCCCACAGCTGCTGTTCTCAGTTCGGTTGCTAGCCAGAGCCAAAAAGTACTTCTCCTTCAAGCCTTCCATCCCACCAACTGCAGCAAAACCTAGAATTCAGAGGAAGATCAAGTTTGCCAGGAACTCAGATCCATCCACAGCAAGTGGTGAAGATCACAGTAAAATCACAGAGCAGAATTTCCAAGGAAAACTGCTCCCTATCAGGGTTTGTGACCCTTTTTGCTTCCTTCTTTCTTTCTTCCCTCCCTCCCTTCCTCCTTTCTCTCTTTTTCTCTTATTAATGCCTTAGGCAGTGCCTATGGGTTTTCAGAATCTTAGTTTTAAATGCATAGTATAAAATACATAGGATTATAAAAGCTATTGAATACAATTATTAAAATATTTAAAATGTGATACAGTAATTGATGTGTTCTATTGAATCTGAAGATCCAGCTACAGGTCTAATAAATCGCTAGTTTCAAAATAACTATGAGTACAAAGAATATTTTAATCTATCAGTAACAACCGTAACTGAAAGGAACTCTGGTAGTATAGAGGTTACAAATGGGGCTGCTAACTTCAAGGTCAGCAGTTCAAAACTACCAGCAGTTCCATGGGAGAAAGATGAGGCTTTCTGCTCCCGTGAAGATTTACAGCCTTGGAAACCCTATACAGGGTCACTGTGAGTTAGAATTGACTCTACGGCACATCACCAACTGTAACTGATAACTATCCTAGATAAAATAACCATCCTAGATTAAAAAAAAAATCTAGCATAACTTTTGGTACTGAAATCACAGATGCTGATAATGACTGAGCTTTCTTGCCTACAGCTATAATGGAAAAATGTTAAATTTCAATTATAGATCAGTGACATACGATGCAATTTTTCACCATTCAATTCAAAGATTCCCTGAATTCTGACCATGGACCCCAGGCTAAAAACAAACAAAACTAGGCCTTGAGGAAGTGTTCTTTCATCTTTAAATTTCTCATCTGTTCTTGAGTCTTGGCATTTCAAGAAGGGTCCAAGAAATATATGACCATGAACATTTGTCTTCTCTGAGATTTGGTTTCCTCATCTGCAAATAATGTAGCACCAACCTCACAGAGTTGGTGCAAGCTCTGAATGAGATCATTCATGCATGTAAAATAAAATCTGGCACAACTTTTGTTATTAAGTACTGTCAAGTTGGAAACCCTGTACAGGGTTTCCAAGGAGCAGCTGGTGGGCTTGAACCACCGACCTTGTAGCTCAAGCTGACATTGCGGTCCAGTGCATTATCCCACAGTGCCACAGCACATCTTACAGCTAATCTAAAAATTAAAGTCCTGTATTTTAATCTTATGCTTTATATATCTTGATGCAATATTATTTCATTCATAAAGGTTATATTTTTATTGTCAGTTGGTTCCTTTTTAATATAAAATTATTTTGCTCTAATATTGTTTTTTGGTGCAAAACTTAAAAAATGATATAAAGCTGAATTTCTTGTACCCAAACTAGAATCATTGAGTCTTTTTGAGAAAATAAATAATATGTTGTTTTTGTTGTTAAGTGCCATTGAGTCGGTTCTGACCAATAGAGATCCTATACAGGATTTCCAAGAAGCAGCTGGTGAGCTTGAAACACGAACCTTGCGGTTCAAACCGACTTTGCAGTCCAGCACATTAGCCCACAGCGCCACACCAGGACTCTGAAATAATATATAGAAAAGTAAAAATAGTGATATAATGAATAGCCATATACCTACCACAAAGACTGATAATTGCTAATAGGAGCCTGTCTTTTAATAGAGAGTTTTATTCCATTTGCTTGTATTATACTAACGGATACATCTATTCTTACTTTATATTCGTTTATCTTCTTATAAAGAAGCCCTGGTGGCATGGTGGATTATGGGTTGGGCTTCTAACTGCAAGGTTAGCAGTTTGAATCAACTAGTTGATCTATGGGAGAAAGATGAGGTTCTTTGCTCCCGTTAAAGATTTACAGCCTCGGAAACTCTATACAAGGTCACTATGAGTTGGTACTGACTCCATGCCATACAACCACTAGAGCCACAGAGGAGGTAAAGTAGATTGCAGGATACAATAGATTGTCTTAAATGCAGGGAAAAATTAATAGACTATAGGGTAACTTCAAAGAAAACTAATATTTCACAACTTACCATGAAAATGAAGATCCAAGTAGAACAAGGAAACATTAAAACTAAGAAGAAACTGACAAGAATAACCACACACGAACTCAGCACAAGAAGGCATGCAGAACAAAGGAATGAACAGCACCACAAAAAATCAACATAATGACAGCAATTAATTCATACCTATCAATAATTACACTGAATGTCAATGGATTAAATGCACCAGTGAAGAGACAGAGAGTGGCAGAATGGATAAGAAAATAAGACCCTTCAATATGCTGCCTGCAAGAGACACACCTTACACACAAAAACAAAAACAGACTAAAAGTTAAAGGATGGAAAAAAAAAATACCAAGCTAACTGCAGTTAAAAAAACAAGCAGGAGTGGCAATACTAATCTCTGATAAAATAACCTTTAAGGCAAAAACCAGCATAAGAGATAAAGGAAAGACACTATCTTGTGATTAAAGGATCAATTGAGCAAGATGACATAACCATAATTAACATCTACGCTCCCAATGAAAGAGTACTAAGAAATATAAAGCAAACCCTACTAGAATTGAAGAAAGAAATAGAGAAATCTACAATTATAGTGGGAGATTTTAATAAACCACTTTCAAACCAACCTGCAGTTCTAACCAACCTTATGGTCAATTGCTTATCTTACAGTGCCACACCAGGACTCCTGTGATTTATTACAGATGTACATTGAAAACCATAGGCCCACCACTAAAATAATTTTTAAAAGAAGAAAAATGGATCTAGAAGACAAATGGAACTAATAGAAAATAACTGGCAAAATGGTAGATTTTCATCTAGCTTTCTCAATAATCACATAAAATGTGAATGATCTAAAGACACAAAGATTTCAGCAGTTGGTATCCACAACTCTCATCCTAACCATTGTCTTCTTGTATTTTTGGGGGGCAATATTTACTGAACTTTTATTCTAATCCAAAAATAGATCTAAGCACCTTATTTATATAAGGTAAGTAACAAAGTATTGCTACAAAAATCATAGAAACATTTATTAAACAAAAATATGAAAATGTGAAGTTATTGCTTCTTGTCATATTCTCCATTTAGGTCTATACACTTCTGAAAATGGTGTTTCCATCTCTCTAACCCTTCCCAGTGCAAAGGCTTTCGACTGTGTGGACTGTGACAAACCATGGATAACATTGCAAAGAATACGTATTCCAGAACACTTAATTGTGCACATGAGGAAACTGTACATAGATCAAGAGGCAGTTGTTAGAACAGAACAAGAGATACCAAATGGTTTTAAATCCTTACACCATACTTACTCAATCTGAGCAAATATGCTGAGCAAATAAATAATCAGAGAAGTTGGATTATATGTAGAAGAATTATATGCATCAGGATTGGAGGGAGACTCATTAACAACCTGCAATATGTAGATGCTACAACCCTGCTTGCTGGAAGTGAAAAGGACTTAAAATACTGATGGAGATCAAAGATTGCAGCCTGCAGTATAGACTGCAATGCCCGTGAAGAAAATGAAAATTCTCACAATACTAGAATTTTGATAAACAGAGAAAAGATTGAAGTTGTCAAAGACTTCATTTTGCTTGGATCAACCATCAACACTCATGGAAGCAGCAGTCAAGCAATCAAATAACGTATTGCACTAGGCAAATTTGCTGCACAAGACCTCTTTAAAGCGTTCAAGAGCAAAGATATCAGTTTGAGGACAAAGGTATGCCTGACCCAAGCCATGGTATTTTCAATAACCTCATATGCACATGAAAGCTGGACAATAAAGGAAGAAGACCATAGAAGAATTGATGCATTCAAGTTATATTGTTGGAGGAGAATATTAAAAATACCACAGACTGCCTTAAGAATCAAACAAATCTGTGTTGGAAGAAGTACAACCAGAATTCCCCTTGGAAACCAAGATGGTGACACTTGGTTTCTCATACTTTGGACATGCTGTTGGTAAGAACCAGTCCCTGGAAAAGGACATCATGCTTGGTAAAGAGGTGGACCAACCAAAAAGGGGAAGACCCTCAGGGAGATGGATTGGTACAGTGGCAACAGCAATGTGTAGCAACAGTTGTGAGGAGGGCATAGGACCTAACAGTGTTTCATTCAGTTGTGCATGGGCCACTTTGAGTCAGAACTGACCCAGAACGACACCTAACTATAACAACAACACCATTCCAAGAAGACATCTATACTCTTCAATTGACACCACATCAAAATGGCAGTCTCGGTATCCTCAAGGGACTCCAATGGTATTCATTTTAAATGTTCTTTGAGTTTGGAGATCAAAAAGAAGATTAAGGATTTACGGTGGATAGGGTAATGTTTCCAAAGGAAATTCTTGTAGGCAGCCCTCGTCACTCTCGAAGAACAAGCAGGTGCGTTGTCATGATGGGAAAGAAAAAAAAAATCCTGGGTGAAATTCCTGGCTTTTTCTCCACCACTGCAGCTGCTATTTTCTTAAACACTTTTTTCCTAATAATGTCCCATGATCATCCTGTGTCCTTTGAGAAAATATTTCCAAATTACCCCTTTGGAGTCCCCCAAAGTAGTTGCCATAACCTTCTGAGCTGACCTCTCTGATTTGAATTTAACTGACTCAGCAGATCCTGTTGGAAGCCACTGGAATATTTTTTTTTTGGACGGCACCTTAATGAGACTGAGACAAATGTACTACTGAGAACTTCCCTGCAGCCATTCACTGATCACACACAATTGTTTAAACATGTTCTGTTTGAACTGTGGATTAATGCACTGGACTGCAAAGCCAGTTTAAGGTCGGTTATTCAAACTCACCAACCGCTCCTCATGAAACCCTATACAGGGTTGCTATAGGTTGGAATTGACTCGACAGCACTCAACAACAACAGCAATGTATAAACTGGAATCCTAGTAGCAATACTTTTTGGTTTGCCCTCATAATAACTCATTTAATTCTTTCAACAGTACTTTAAATTTTATGATTCAGATCAGGAATTGAGGAGCCATGTGCCTATGGTCACATCAGCATGAAACAGGCAGAAATCAGGATCCAGTTATTAGCTGGATACAAAGTCTGTGCTGTTAATTTTTATGCTGTACCACCCACCATTGGAGACACAGAGAAGTTCTGAACTTTGTTCAAAGCATATAAGTCCATATCACATGACTCTGGGCCCATAGACTGACATATAGGTCAGCTATATCTCTCCTTGGATCTCCTTCACTGCCTTCAGCTTCCTAGCCCTGCCCCATGTTCCCACGCTACTTAGATCTATCCTGGGGGACCTTTGTAGACAGGCTCCCAAACTCAACCATGCAAGAATCCATTTGATTCTTCAATGAACTATTAGACAACAGAGAGTCACACCCCTCTGTGAGAATGAAGAAGCAGAAAACTGTCAAAGGATATTTGACAGACCCAAATCTGGAATATAGAACTCCCTGAAAATCAAGAGTGTTTTCCTACTCTCCATCTCCAAATTCCATAGAAATACTCAATGAAATATACACATTCCGTAGAAGCAATCAATGAAATATACAAAGGGGGGTACACCTGCAAAACTGTTGGTGTTCTATGGCTGCACCTGTGGAAATCTTGGGGGAAATATCCACAAGATACTGCAGATTGATGAAGATCATCGAGGGGTGTTGTTTAATTACTCTGTTGACTGATTGGAGTGAGAAAAAATGACACTCCCCCACTGAGACCCCATGATTGCATAGGGAAAGGTCTGGAGGTTCTGCTAGGAATAACAGACCATCTGAAGATCGATCTCAACTCTCTCTTGCCTCTGAAACCTGATATATCATGAACCACTCATGCCGCACTGGGAGGGTCAAAGGTTTGCTATTTGTGATAAGGAACCACACCAAGTGTTTATCTAGTGAGGCTACACGTTTGCCCTTCATATATGCAGTTCTCATTTGAATTTCTTCCTTATACATTTCTGTTAGTATAAGGTAATAAAACACTTCAGAAGTATCCCAGACATTTAAAGTTAATAATGAGCAATGTTTGTTGTTGTTCATATTGTGAAACAAATTTTTTTCCCCATGATTATTCCTTTGTATTTTCATTAGAAAGTAAGCACTTGCTCATAATGTGAACTGTGCAGAAAGATACAAGGTTACAGTAAAACTTTGGTCTGTATTCTTTAACTACTGCTCCAAGATCCTCCTTGGGGTTTTTCATAACTATATATCTTTTACAGGAGCAGAAAGCCTCATTCTGTGGAGAGAGCTGGTAAGTTTGAACTACTGACCATGTGGTTTAGCAGACCAACATTTATAACCTATTTTGCACCCAGATTCCGTTCTCCCCACAAAGGTAAAGATTATTACCAGTCAGGATGTGGTACTTTGAGATTATGCAAATATACAATTTCTCACCACCATCCATCCATTCATTAACTTTCACATGGGTTCTTGTGGTGATCTTAAATGCCTCCCACTCATCTACATTTATTAGGAGGAATTCTTCTGTAAGAAAGAATTGTCTCCTTTTCCCCTTTTGTTTATTTAGTCAATCATTCATTTATATTATGACAGAAAGGTTTAGTAACTTTTCCCTTAAAAAGAGTAAGTTTCTGATTCTAAGCACAATTCTCTTTTAACTAAAATAACTAGGCCTTAAGGAAAGTACACCCTCTAAGCATATACATTTTGATACCTTGGTTTGCTGACCACAGTGATTAGAGCAGATTCCCTGCTGGAGAGAAGGATGCCATTCCCCATCCAAATGGCCCTAGGACCCCACTTACTGTAACCCATCAAGGTGAGGGCGCCTACGAGCATGATCAGAGTCTGCACAGCATCTGTGTAGATCACAGCAGCCAGGCCACCTGAGAAGAGACACAGGCAATGACGTCAGGGCCAGGTCCTCTGAGGAAGACTTACTCTAGGTAACAGAAGGAACCTGCGAGGTCAGCACTTGACTCAGAAGAGGTCATAGTGTTGAATTTTTACAAAGAAGGCCTTCTCTGCATGCATGTCCATGTTGTGACATGATTTTACTGTTCCTTTCAAGTTAATGTAAAGCTAAATGGGCTTAGCTGTGTGATTTGCTTTGACCAACAGAATGTGGTAGAAGTGATGGTGTGCAGCTCCAAGTTAGGCCTCAACACACCTTACAGCTGCTACTTTTCCTCTTGTCCTGAGACTACCTTGCTTTAAGAAGCCAGGTCTAGCCTAATGGAGGATGATGGCCTATATGGAGGGGATGTGAGTCAATAGCCCAAGCTAACCACCAGCCATGTGAGTAAGGCCATCTTGGTTTAGCCACCTCTTCTAGATGCCATCTGACTTCAGTGTTGAGCTCAACAGAACACCGAGCCAGTCAACTAACAGAATTATAAAAAATAATAGACCATTGTTTAAAGACCCTAAATCAGGGCCTGGTTTGTTACCCCAGAATCCCTGGGTGGTGCAAACAGTTAACATACTTTGCTGTAACTGAAAGGTTGGAGGTTCAATTCCAACCAGAGGTGCCTCAGAACAACAGCCTAGTGACTTCTGAAAAAATCAAATCAGCTGTTGAAAATTGAGCATAGTTGTACTCCGACACACACATAGTCAACCATGGGTCCGAGTGGCCGCCAAGGCAACTGGTTTTTTTGTTCTTGTTTCTACACATAAATCTATAATTGCTATTACAAGTGATCCCTGGAGCACAGTCTCCAAACTCTGACACCTTCATTTTTAACAATGGAGCTAGGATGTGAGTATTAGGTATTCAGAGCTCTAGCAGCCTTCCTTAACAGGATCACAGTGATCTAAATGCTGCGCCCCATTTCCTAGTATGGATCTGGTCTATATTAGATTTTATTTGTTGCTGTTAAGTACAGTTGAATCGGTTCCGACTCATAGCAACCCTAGACAGGGTTTCTTAGGAGCAGCTGTTGGATTTGAACTGCCAAACTTGTGGTTCACAGACCAGTGCTGATCCTACAGCATCACTATATGTGTGTGTGTGTGTGTGTTTAGAGAGAGAGAGAGTCCTGATGTGGCCCCGTAGAATAAACACTCCATCTCAAGGTTGGTTTGAACCACAAAGTTGGTGATTCAGACTTACCAGCTACTCCTTGGAGACCCTATACAGGGAGACTATGAGCAAGGAGCTCTGATAGCGTAGTGGTTACCAATCGGGCTGCGAACCTTAGAGTCAGCAGTTCAAAACTACCAGCTATTCCATGAGAGAAAGATGAGGCTTTCTGCTCCCATAAAGATTTACAGCCTCGGAAACCCTGTACAGGGTCGCTATGAGTCGGAACCGACTCCATGGCATATAACCACCACTATGAGTCAAAGCTGATTTGCCAACACTTAACAACAACAAAAACACACACATACATACACACATATATAGATATAAATATCATATATGGTGTTGATGGTGGTTATGTGCCTTGGAGTCAGTACCGACTCACAGCGACCCTGTATAGGGTTTCTGATGTTGCAAATCTTTATGGGAGCAGAAAACCTCATCTTTCTCCCACGGAGTAGCTGGTAGACTCAAACTACTGACCTTGCAGTTAGCAGCCCAACTCGTAACCCAATATGCTACCAGAGCTCCTTAGATCACATACACATAGGAGGATTAGTCAAAAATTACCTGCACTCTACTTATATTAAAATGCCTGTCCACATCCATGGCTGATGACAACATTGAGTGTGCACGTGAAATGATTCTGTCAAATAGATGAGTGACAGTAGATTATGTGACAAATAATTTGCAAATCAGCCATGGTTCTGCCTATGAAATAATCCATGACAGACTTGGGTTTTGAAAAGTTTGTTCAAGATGGGTACTGAACAGCTCACAGAAGAGCATAAACAGAAGCGTTTGGACATCTGCGAACAACATTTGGACTGATACTTGAAGGAAGGTAAAAGTTTCTTAAAAATAATTACAGGTGAAATCTTCTGTATCTGGGGCAGCAGAGTAAGGTTTCAGTCATACCTGCAATAGTGTAGACAGCTGTGATGGCCAACAGCCCAGTTATGGCCAAGTACAAATCCAGGTTTAAAGACTGCTGAATAAAGATGGCGCCTGCATACATATCCACCTGTAGAGACGCCAAGTTGATGGATGAGTGGGTATTTGCTGCATAGGTCCCCTAAGACCACAGTCTGGCAGACACATAAGAGTCATAAATTGCCCTTCATTCTTTTATCTTTGCCCAGATCAGGAGCCTCAAACTGGAGCCCTGTGGGCAATTCTGTTTGAGACCCCTGCTCTTGATGAATGAACCCACCACTTCACTGGTCTTCCTGCTTCTACTCTTAGTCCGCTTGTATGTCATCTTCCATACTGCAACGTTTACCAAACATGACAGTGTTACCTCCATTACAAGTCTCAGTGCCTCCCATTGTCCCCAAGATAAAGTCTAAACTTTTAAACCTGCCTCATTTCACATCCCCAGCCCTCCAGCCACTTGGAAAGACTCTCGGTTTCCTTGACCAAGCCATGTTCATCCAGGCCTTTAAGCTTGTACTTGTGCTTGGCCATCTATTTGTAATGCCATCCCCCTTTCTCTAACTAGTAAGCCCTGGCTTAGCTGTAACTTCCCTGGTGAGGTCTTCCATCAGACTGTGAGTAAATGTCCTAGAATGTAGCCTGTGTCTACCCCTCACATTTGGAGCTAGCACAAACTCAGTTATTAGTGTTTACAAGGAATGGAATCCCCTCTACCCTCCCAGCCCACCACACCTCACAGTTGGGAGAGAAGGCAGCCTCAGTGTCGTCAGGCTGGCTAAGTGGCATATGTCCCAGGCCTGGAAGTATTCTTTACCACTTTCCATACCTGTCATCAGTGGGCTCAAGCATGACAATGATAGTGAGGTTGGCCCAGGATCGGGCAGTATTTTGTTCTGCTGTGTGTAAGGTGGCTATGAGTCAGTACTGACTCATGGCACCTAACAACAACATATCTGTCAGCCCTGAAGGTCAGCGTTGGGCAGTTATCAGCACATCTTATCATTGCCTGAACCCAGGAGGAAGATAACAGTCCCACCCAAGGGACTATTATCTTGAAGTCCCATCAATGAACCACACCATCTAGAGATATCCACGAAGAAGCTTGGGGCTAGAGGGGAGATGCACTTCCTTCTACTTTTTTCCTTTACTTCTATCCAAATTTCAGCTCTACCCCCTCCCATCTCCCTGTAGGCACAGACTCTCCTCCCCTCCCTGAAGCCAGGAGGAGGAGACAGTGGGTGAGGAAAACACTCACATACACACACACACACACACACACACACACAGACACAGCCAGCAGTAAACTTTGCTTTAACTTCTCAATGCTGCAGCACTGTAATCAGGTTAAGTGCTCCCCTTACCGAGATCTTAGTGAAGATGTATATAAATAGGTAGAGCACAGCTAGGGTGATGGGGATCCGATTGCCGCCGAAGCGTTTCCGTAAGTATTCCGGCATCGTTGAGACCTAGGGACATAGGAGAGCTTTCAGTACGATCTTCTCCATACCAGCCCCTCTCACCTTTTCCCTCCTCCACACTCAGAAAGGTCTTCCTTAGAATTTAAAATTGGAGACTTTAAGAAGGAAAGAGAAAATAGGACAAGGAAGGAGGAACACAGAGAGATTGGGAATCTGTGCAGGGGTGTATACCCCAATAGGTCCTATTTCCCAAACATGAGATATATGTGTGCATCCCATCCCAACATTGTCATAGCCTGTATTATTATTTATTTCCTGTTTTCATTTAAACCAACTCACATTTATTTAAATAAACATCTAAAAAGGGAGCTAAATCCCCACTGCAGTGGAAAAGCAGAAGTGCCTGTCCTAAGTTTAAAAGAATCAATAAAAATAAATACATGAATAATAAAACCATTTCTTTTCTACTCTTTCTGGCAGTTTACTGCTATACACCAAAGTCTCTGGGTCCAAGGCCTGCTCATTCTTTCTTTATGAAAGGAAAAAAAGATGGGAAAAAAAAGGGTTGTTGAGCAGAGTCCAGCTGATGTGAAGTAAGGGCATATGCACAAGAACACCCACACTTGCAGAAATACCCACTTGACCTGGCTTCAATGGATGGATGATCAGAACACAAATAAAAGATGAAGAGGAAAAAAAGAGTACTCTGATATAATTTGATGAACTTGACCTATACCTATGGATGCAGTAGCTCAAAAGAGGGAACAAATCTTTACAGCGAGAATCATTCCCACCCCCTCGGTACACAGGGTAGACAGGGATGGGCAACTTGGACATTGGCTACCCAAAATGGTGGGGGGGGGGCAAAAAAGGCAAGAAGTGGCTGGCTTACAAGCTTTCAAGAGGGAACCTAGATCCAGAGGGTGCAGGGGAAGGTAGAATCTCCACTGAGTACTATCCAATCTGTTTGGATGGGGCTGATGAAAGCAGATGGGGATAGGACTCTTGTGGTACAAATGTGAATAATTGTTATCAGGACTGACTGTGAGGGTTGAAAATGTAAAGGAGCCATTTTATCACAAAAGGAGGGGAATGGTTGACTTTGCAGTCCAGGAGCAGAGGTCCCTGGGACCATCAAGGGAGAAGGACAGACAGCGGGACCCTACCCAGGGAAGCAGTGACACCAGAGATGGAGGCAGAGATGATGACGTGGAGAGATGGAGCGGCTGGGGACTCAGAGAAGGAGAGAGGCTGTGTGCTGATGAGCCAGGGAGTAGGCTTGTGGAGTATACCCTTTGGATGTTTGATGATGCATGCAGGAAATTGAAATTGCAATGAAACAAAATAAGATAGGATGAATGTAAAGCTAATGTTCTCCCGTGTAAACTATCATATAATTCACAATAAAAACTTATAAAAAAAAGACAAAGAGAGAGTTGTTGGAGTGTGTTAAAGGTGTATTAACATCAACATGAGAATTGTCCCTTGAGTTCATTACAAATTTAACAAACAACGCCCCCCAGAAAGAACAGGAAAACAATAACTTCAGTATGTATTTGCAACTCAGTGTATTTGGCCCTATGTTTAACAACCCAAGTATCTCTGTTGGTCCGTGTCCCAAACTTTAGGGAAACTAGTCTACTGTAAACCTTTACCTGGTTATTAGGAGAAGCAGGGAATTCTAGTAACCTAGGCTTCTCTGGAAAGGGCAGAATGACCTCCTTTCCTACAGAGGCAGCCCCCTCAGGACTCTGGCAGGAGGGACCATTACCATTTCCCATTTACATCTTGAATGAGCTGAAGGTCCCCAGGGGCTGGGCCGTTTGTGCTACTGGGACCCAGTATTTGAACTTCACTTTCCTTGGGTTTGAGGGTATCCTTTCCCAATATCCTCATCCCCACAAACCCCAGACTTTGGGTTGGAACAATGCTATATCTTGACTCTTGGACCTCAAATAAGCAGCTGATTCCATGAGGTCCTAAAACTTGGATGGAAGTTGTGTATAATGATGCTTCTCATATTTATAGAATGTTTGCAGCCCCTCCACTATGTTGTTGCTTGTGGAGGGAGGTGTCTCCAATACCCAGGAAGGAGACGAGTGGGCACCATCCAGGGACTAATGAATGATTACTGTTCATTCCAAGGTCAGACGATGGAAGCAGAAGAACCTGGTGACTATTCTTTGAAATGAAATCTTTGGTAACTTCAATCTTTTCTTCATTTATCATGATGTTATTATTGGTCCAGTGGTCAGAGTTTTATTTTCTTTATGTTGAGGTGCAACCCATACTGAAGGCTGTGGTCTTTGATCTTCAACATAAGTATTTAAGTCCTCTTCACTTTCGGCAAGCAAGGTTGTATCATTTGCATATCACAGGCTGCCAATGAGCCTTCCTCCAACCCTGATGCAACGTTCTTCTTCATATAATCTAGTTTCTCAGATTATTTGCTCAGCATACAGATTAAATAAGTACAATGAAAGAATACAGCCCTGGCACTCACCCTTCCTGATTTAAAACCACACAGTGTCCACTTGCTCTATTCGAATGACTGCCTCTTGGTCTATGTACAGGTTCCTCATGAGCACAATTAAGTGTTCCGGAATATTCAGTCTCCGCTATGTTGTTCTTAGCTTGTCATGATCCACAGTCGAAAGCCTTTGCATAGTTACTAAAGCACAAGTAAACATCTTTCTGGTATTCTCTGCTTTCAGCCAAGATCCATCTTACATCAGCAATGATATCCCTCATTCTACATTCTCGTCTAAATCCAGCTTGAATTTCTGGCAGTTCCTTGTCAATGTACTTTGTGGACTCTGTTACACCAGTAGAACAAACTGATCAGTTGGCATAACACAGTCCACAAAGACAATATTTTACATCCTACTTTGGAGTTCTGGTGTGGCGCTGTGGGTTAATGCGTCAGACTGCAAAGCCGTTTGAACTGCAAGGTCGGTGGTTCAAGCTCATCAGCTGCTCCTGGGAAACCCTACACAAGGTCACAATGGGTCAGAACAGACTCGATGGCACTTAACAACAACAACAACTTTGGTGAGCAGTGACTGAGGCGTTAAAAGCTTGTGAGCAGCCATCTAAGATACAACTATTGTCTCTCCTTGTTCAGAGAAACAAAAGAGTGATGAAAACTGAAAACACTTGGAGACAGTATGTACAACAGAATAACAGACCACATGAACATTCATTCCCATGACCCTGAGTCCAGAAGAGCTAAATGGTGTCCAGGTACTGCTACTAACTGCTCTGAAAGGGATCACATTAGAAGGTCCTGGGTAGAATGAGAAAAAATGTGGAATAAAGAAATCAGAATCATAAAAAGACTTGTTTTACTGGTCAGCTAGAAATTAGTGGGACCCTGAGTCTACGGCTCTTCATCATCCTTCATGTCTAGAGCCAATCTCATCTCCATGGCTCAGTGTTCAGCCAAGCAATAGTTACGTATATAGTGGGGCCATTGGGACAAGTGAAGTACGCACATAAAATAGTCAACCTTTTACGATCAAGAGGGCAGCATTTCCCTAAGGACAACATTCAGAAGGTGAGGAAAGACGGAGGAATGGAAAGAAGAAATACAGGGAGGAAGTGGGTTACGTGATGTTACATTGAGAGAACTGTAATCAACATGAAATGAAGTAGATGGTTTGCTGGATGTAAAACTGATGATCTGCTCTGTAAACCTTCACTCAATACACTCAAAACAAAAGTAAAAGGATGATGGAATCTGTGTGATGTATTTACGTGTGTTCAGTATAAAATTGTTTCAAATTTTATAAAAGTTTGATTTTTTTTTTTTCTTAATCAAATTTGTTGTTGTTGTTAAGTACCATGGAGTCAGTTCTGACTCATAGTGACCCTGCACAGGGTTCCCGAGGCTGTAAATCTTTATGGGAGTAGAAAGCCTCATCTTTCTTAATCAAATAGTGGGGGATAAAAACTCCAGTATAAATTGACATTTTTAAATACTAAAAAGATCCCTTCCCCACAAAAAAGACAATTTTGGACCATGAACCAAATGAATGGCTTGCCTCAACCTTTTGATTTGCTGGCATGGCGGTAGGACAAGCACTGGACTGCAAGGTCGGTTTGAACCACGAGGTCAGCAGTTCAAACTCTCTAGCCACACCTCAGAAACCGTCTACAGAGTAACTGTGTGTTGGAAACAACTCAATGGTGCTTAACAAACCAACCAAAGAATTTTCTACAAGTACATCGATTGAACTCTGACACTCTTCACAAACAGAGAGATGTGCTCAAATCTTGCTGAACATGTGATGTCCTAACTGGGGGGCAGTGGTGGGCATGTGAGAATATTGACCCACAGAGATAAGTGTGCCACCCTCAGAGTGGCTTCCCTGTCTTATCTGTGAATGACAACTACCCGCTATCTTGGCTGGGAGTGAATGTTCTGTTCGTTATTGATTGACAGCCTTTATTATCAGTTGACCTTCATTTCAGTCCAGAAAGAGTGGCACTTGGATGTCTTCAGTCTCCCTAGGCAGGAAGTTTCTAATGAGCTATGAGAGGAAGGGGAGATGCAAAGCATCAGAAAGCAAGCAGCATTGAAATCTAGAAGTCAGACGCTGGGGAAGCATGAAGCTAGCTGACAGATGGGAGGCAGTGACACGTGTTGTTTGTTGTAAAGCTGCTAAAAAGGCAATTTGCCACAAGCAAGGTAGAGAGAGAAGAGATGGATTTCCTGCAGAAATACGTGTTTATGTGCACCACTGCACAAGTATAAAAATGCTCAGAGCAGAGCAGTGTTCATCATAACACTGGAAACCACCTACATGGGCTTCACAAAAGAATGAATAACCATCTCCAAATGTATTTATATAACATAGATTATTACTAAGCAACGAAGCTGTCTACAACAGAATATCCTCCCCGGATTCCCTGATTCCATCTATACACACTTCAAAAACAGTAAATTTAGGAAGGCACCATTATATATATATAAGTCCTGGTGTGACACTGTGGGTTAATGCATCAGACTGCAAAGTCATTTGAACTGAGAGGTTGATGGTTCAAGCTCACCAGCTGCTCCTTGGAAATCCTATCTAGGGTTGCTATGGGTTGATATATATAACCATCGGCATTTTGGTTAGCAGCCAAGTGCTTAACTGTTGTATACATATATATTTTTTGGTTGTTCTGTGCTGTCAAATTGGTTCTGACTCATAGCGGCCCTATATAGGGTTTCCAAGGAGCAGCTGGTGAGTTTGAACTGCCAACCTTGTGGCTCAAACCAACCTTGTGGTCCATGTAGTTATTTATAAAAGCAAGGAAGGGATTACAAGCCAGGGAGAAGAGAAGAGATGTGGGGAATATTGGAATGTTTTCTATTTTGATCTGAGAGTTCACTTTGCACTAATTTGTTGATCTATATGTTTGTGTTTTATGCACTTCTCTGTATTTGTGGAGTCTTGGTGGTGTAATAGTTAAGCACTTGGTTGCTAGCCAAAAGGTCAACAGTTTGAACCCACTCACTGTCCTGTGGGAGAAAGATGTGACCGTCTGCTTCCATAGATATTCACGGCCTTGGAAGTCCTGTGGGGCAGCTCTGCTCTGCACCTATAGGGTTATTCTGAGGTGGAATCTACTCAATGGTAATGAGGCTTTTGTGTGTTTATTTTACTTTGTCATTTTCATCTTTTCTCAACGTTCTGGAATTTGTTTCTAGAGTGCTCATAATCCTTTCTTTGAATATTTGTAAGAAACGGTCCAAAGAGTTTCTGTTTTTGTGCATCATCAAGTCGTTCTGGTTCATAGTGACCCTGGGACAAAGTAGAACCACCCCACTAGTTTCCCAAGGCCTTGATGGTGCTGTAGGGTAAACACGGGATGGCTAATTGAAGGATCATGGTAGTACAAACCCACCAGCCACTCTCCAGGAGAAAAACAAGATGCCTTCTCCTGTAAAGTTTACAACCTCAGAAACTATACAGGGTCGCTATGAGTCGGAATCGACTTGATGACACTTGATGACTTGATAGCATCAGGTTTGGATTTTTGGTTCGTTTCTCTTTTTTTATAATCTTTATAGTTGCAGAATGACAACTCCTTTCTCCTGTGGAGTCACTGGTGAGTTTGAACCACTGGCGTTTTGGTTAGCAGCTGAGGGCTTAACTGTTTTGCCACCGGGGCTCTTTGAAGTATGTCTGTGGTTGTTGTTAAGTGGCGTCGAGTCAGTTCCAACTCACAGATATTCTGTACAGCGCTTCTGAGACTGTAAATCTTTACAGGAGCTGAAAGCCTCCTTTTTCTATAGCTCAGTGACTGCTGGATTCAAACTGCTGACCTTTCAGTTAGCAGCCCAACACACAACCCACTTTATCACAAGAGATCCTTAGAAGAATGTGTAGACCCTGGGACTTTTTACTTAACAATGTAGCTTGGAGGAATTTATATAGCAACACACTTCAATGGACTCCATCCCTCTTCATAGTGTGGTTGCATAACATTCCACACTATGAATACACATTTTGGTTGTCCCCAGCTTTCTCTACTACAAACAACTACAATAGGCATTTCAAATCTTTGTCCCTCTTCTTAACTTTCATCCTCATGACTTCCTTTCTCACAGGTGAGATGATCTTTTGTTTGCCAGGGAAAAAAATGGAAATCATCAGCTGGGAACTTCTGGCGGCCTTACCTACAAGCTAACCTACATCTAGAATATACCACCGCTGGACTGACAGTGAGCATCCTTGCATCTCCGCCATCCTGTTTCTTTTCGACAGATGTTTAATAAATAGTTACTGACCCTTGGATTCAAGGATCCTCACTGTCAGTTCACTGTTGTTATATTCTAGATGCTTTATCTATGTGGGAGCTAGTCCTAGGTAGGAGTAGGAGGACCTATGTCCCTCACCCACAAAAGGCCAAAGTAGCATATTGTTATTGTTAAGTGCCATCTTATATTACTTGTGGTACCTATGAAGTGATTTTTTAAGTAATTTCTCTGATCGCTATACAGTTCTTTCTATTTTGTGCATGTTCAGAATTTCTATAATAAAAAAAATTTGAAAACAAACAATAAATAAGGAGGAATATGATGCAGACCGTGCAGAGCCGGTCAGGAGGTCAAGACCCTGTGGGCCCAAGCGTTGTTGACCGTCCAAACCATAGGCTCTGAGGATCAGACGTTAGCCACCTAGCAGACATAGCAAACTGTCCCTCATCTGATCATTCAGTTATGCTTGTTAGTAATCGCATACATGAGCCCTGGATATCCACAGACAAATGTAAAAACCTTCCCTAAAAGCCGAGACTGTAAATTCCAAAAAGGCAAGTTCCCCCCAACCCAAAAAAAAGCTAAAGAGGATAGAGAGAAACACTGTTAACTGATGATATATGGAGGGGATAATAATCAATGTAATGAAAAAAGCTATATGAATGGTTGAATGTGAAGCTGATGATATGCCCTGTAAACTTTCACTCAATCCAAAATAAAAACATTTAATAAAAAAATTTGAGATAGGTTATTATCTTATTACAAATGACATGGTGATATTGTATTATCATATTATACAGTATTGCCGTATATGATGTTTTTGTTGCTAAATGTCATTCAACTCATAGTGACCCTGTATGGGGTCTCTGAGGTTTTAAACTATTTGTTGTTGTTAAGTGCCATTGAGTCGGGTCCGACCCATAGCGACCCTGTACAGGGTTTCCGAGGGTGTAAATCTTTACGGGAGTAGAAAGCCTCATGAAAAACAGCATCTTTCTCTTGCGGAGCAACTGATGGCTTGGAACTACCGACCTTGTGGTTAGCAGTCCAATGCCTAGCGTTTGCCACATGTGATAGAGCGTCTAAAATAGAAGTAAGCCTAGAGAGTATGAATAACACAAAGCTGTCAACAGATCATAAATGATTTTTAAATGATTTTTTTCAAAAAGTCTAAAGCAACATTATTTGCCACAAAAATGTTGACATTTTCCATCAGTCAAATATGCCTTGATTCTTTCAGTTTTGTGTGCAAAGAAAGAACTATCACTGCCCTGTTTTTGTCTTAGTTAGAAGGTTTAACGTGTTATGGTTTACATGCCTAAGAGAGGTTGGGAAGTTTAGGGTGATGGTTTGACATTAAGCATTTTATTGAGCCCACACTTCTTCCAGTCTATGAGCAATCTCAGGCACATCTTCAGTGTTGCTTACTAGGTGGCCACTGCTAAGGACTGATTGTCTCACCATGTGCCCTTCCTCATCAGCGTTGGTACCTCTCTTGGTGTCTAATGGAGGAAAGGAGGATGGTGGTGGGAAGAAGTTTCGTTTTCCCAAAGGGTCTCCTCATTCTAGCTCCCAACACTCCTCAGACTCACCTGACCAGCAATGTAGATCGGGAGGAAGACCCAGGCCAACATCAGCACAGAGAATAAGCCCTGTCCAAGAAAAAAAAGTCAGCTATACAGGTTTATCTCTGTGCCCTGGGACCACCTGACTTGATCTCTGCCTCTCACTCAGCCTCATACTTTCTGAGTGACTCACATTCCCTGGGTTCTTAAATCCGTTTGTGAAATGGAGAAAGCGGAATCTGACAGGGAAGGCTGGAAACAGGAGTGTTTCGTTGCTCTTTCTACCTCTGTGTCTCTTACTAAACTTCCCACGTCAACTGCCTTCATTCAGTTGCTCTCCCTCCTCTCCTGGTTGTTGTTGTTAACTGCTGTAGAGTCAGATCTGACTCATAGTGACCCTATGTAGGGTTTCCGAGGAGCAGTTGGTGGGTTTGAACCACCAACCTTGTGGTTCAAACTGACTTTGTGATCCAGCACATTATCCTGAAAAGACTGGGAGATCAAGTGGGCCTGGGCTCAAAGACTGGATGTAGAGAAAGTTTACACACATCTCAGACTCATCTGCCTCATCTGTGAAATGGGGACAAGAGTCTCAATGAGTTGTTGTGAGGAATCTGTGCGATCATTTCTAGGCACTTACTATGCACTAGGGTCTTCTCTTCATCTTTACAAGTAACAATTCAGTATCATCCAATATCATCCACAAGGACGTAGGGGGCTAGAGATGCTAAGTAAGTTGCTTAGTGTCATGCAGCTTGTAAAGTGCTGGAACCAGGACGTGAACCCATGCAACCTGGTTCTGTCTGTAATTGAATCCCATAAAATGACAAGTATGTAATGTACTGAGGTCTGTGCCTAGCTTAGAGGAAGGACTTTAAAACGTTAGTTGTTAGGTTGATGAGGACCACGTTAATATACACGCCCTACTCCCTGGTGAAAATCATATTCTGAATGAGCACTATGCATAGGGAGTGGTCTATCACTTGGGTTACCTGTGGGGCACCAAAAGGGTCAAGAGCTGTTGTGCCCATTGGAGCTTTTGTGATGACTAACTGATGTCTAAATTACAAAGCGATAACCTCTGATCCAATGATGTCTTCTCTCTTCTGAATTTACAATAGAAAGACACTGAGCTCTCTCCTCACCACACCCAATTGTTGGCTTTATGGGCCCTCATCAGGCAAGCACAGGGACACCTAAGACTTGCAGATCAAGACGGTTTTTTGTTTAATAAGGGTTCCCTGTTTGTTTTATTTTCCTAAAGCTCCATTCTACTGTCAGAAGTGAGACACAACCACACAACTGTCTCATACCAAATACTCACACAATTATACTCACACTAAATTCATAAGCAGCTACAGAAATCCCCACAGCAGCGCCTGAACCTGCCAGGCCAACGAAATGGCCACTTCCAACATTGCTGGCAAACAGAGAAGCACCCACCTGTAGGGAAATGAATGGGTCAGTTCTTGCAGCCAGGACCTGGAGTTTCTGTTCCCCACTGCCAGGTTTTTCCCCTGACCTAAAGGGAGCTGGAAGGAGCTCTGGTAGTGTAGTGGTTACAAATTGGGTTGCTAATCTCATGTCAGCAGTTCGAAACTACCGCAGGAGAAAGATGAGGCATTCTGCTCCTGTAAAAATTGACAGCCTCGGAAACTCTGTACAGGGTTGCTATGAGTCGGTTCCGAAGCCTCGGCATATAACCAACCAACCATCCATAGGAGCTGGTAGGGTAGAGATTACAAATCAGGCTGCTAACCTCAAGGTCAGCAGTTCCAAACTACCAGCCATTCCACAGGAGAAAGATGAGACTTTCTGCTCCTGTAAAGATTTACAGCCTTGGAAACCCTATGCAGGGTCGCTATGAGTGGGAACTGACTCCATAGCACATAACTACCACCACCAAAAGGACCAAGACAGAAGAATAGTGGTGAAGGCAGGACCATTCCTCTCCTAGTAGGCACCTTTGCTCAAATTAGAAAAAGACTCTCTCTCCTCAAGGCTTCTTCACTTCCACCATCACAAATTGTCATAACAACTATACACATCAACGAGGAAGGTTCTCTTCACATGTTGAGTTAAAACGTGAGAAGATGAAAGACCAGCTTGTTGCCATAAAAGTTGAGCCTATGTGGGAATATCAACTATCCAGAGGAAAAGCTAATGATAAATAAATAAATGGGTAGGTAGATGGATGGATAGATAGATAGAAAAAATTAAGTGCTGTTGACATCACTTGAGTCTCTGCATTCAGCCATACCTGAAATTGGCCCAACCATAGATTTTTCTTTAGGGTTACCTGATACATCCCAGTTTAATCAAGTTGAACTGGAGTTAGTCTCTCTAGTTTAGACTGTGACTTCCAAGTTATATGGAACCAAAGAGAGCAAATTCTGCTCTTGTAGACTCTTTGAAAAGTGATTTGAATTGAACCAAGGATGACTTACTGGCCACCACACCATATCCCCTCCAGCCAAGAAGTAGCCTTTCACCGTGTCTCTTTTGGTCCTCACTGTGGACTGGAACAAAGAGGAGGGAAAATGTTAACAATCTGAGTCATTCCAAAATGGCCTGGGCCAGGGATTACAAACTGGGAAATCAAAGGGTCAGCTTTTCCCTCAAATATGTTTTGTTTGACACATGGTTTTCAAAAAAAGTTGAATTTGAATGCCTTTAGAGGAGGCAAAAACTCTTCCGATCACCCTTCACTTCACTTCCTGTTTTACACCTCACTGGAGTTTTAGACCCATGGCTTAGCTACAGATGCTTCTAATGGCCACCTTTTCTTAGATGTTGTTGTTAAGTGCCTTCAAATCAGTTCTGACTCATAGTGTAACCCTGGATAGGGTTTCCAAGGTGTGACTGGTGGGTTTGAACCACCAACCTTGTGGTGAGCAGTTCAGTGCTGATCCTACAATGCCACAAACACTATGTAAGTATTTTATGAGCATTAACTTGTGGCACTGCAGGATCATGCTCTGGAAGGCAAAGCCAGTTTGAATCACAAGGTTGCTGGTTCAAAGCCACCAGCCACACTTTGGAAACCCTATACAGGCAGGGATGGGAATCCAAACCCAGATCAGTATGCTGTTTGAGTCCATGTGTGTAGTTGGCCTACAAAGCTGTCATCTGTCACCAAAGGTGTTCCAGTAGAGACATCTCCACCACTAAGCAGCTTGTGAAAACTTGGATTTGTTACTTAACTTCTACGAGGACATTCTTACCCTGGGTGGAAAATGACACAAAATGGTAACTCTTCCAAGCCCTACAAGTGACCTTGCTGTGCAAAGCAGACATTGTGACTAATTCCTGCGGAATCCTGACACAGAAAGTATTTTCGAAGAATCAAGAACTCCTTGTGCTCAAAGAGATAAGAAAAAGGGTCACTGGAATTCAGACCTTACCAAACCAGTGATACATCAGGGTCCCCTGGTTCTCCTGTGAAAGCCCAGATCCCCAGGAACTCTAACTTTCACTCTAGCCCTAACCCTAACCACAACGGCCCTTATTCTTAATGACCTCATCCATCTCAGGATCTGCTAAAGTGTGGGAAGCAGAGAAAAACTGGACATTCTTTGGAATGTCCAATACCTTTGTTTTCTATTCTTGACCTGGATGAGGAAAGCTAAAGACTAACAAGTAGAGAAACAATCACAGGAGAGTAAGATCTAAGTAGACACACCTCAGTGGACTACAGGTTTCATGTTCTTTTACAGGTGACCTAAAACCCCAAAAATACAGCACTATTCTTATCCCAAAGCCACCGATCTCTTTACAATATAAAGACTGTCTACAAATTGGTAATACAAATGGCAAGCCCTTGAAATCTTTAAACCAAACAATACTTTAGCTTAATGAGTAAAGAAATGTCTGCCTTGAGTATTGTGCTCTTTTTAGATCTATGTATATGAGATCAGGAAGGAGCTCTGGTAGTGTAGTGGTTACGAATCGGGCTGTGAACCTTAAGGTCAGCAGTTTGAAACTACCAGCTGTTCTGTGGGAGAAAGATGAGGCTTTCTGCTCCCATAAAGATTTACAGCCTCAGAAACCCTGGAGTCGGAATCGACTCCACAGCACATAACCACCACCACCATATGAGATCAGGAGGCCTGGTGTGCTGTGGGTTAATGTGCCAGACTGCGAAGCTGTTTGAACTGCAAGGTCGGCAGTTCAAGCTCACCAGCTGCTCCTTGGAAACCCTATACAAGATGGCTATGGGTCAAAACCAACTTGATGGCACTTAACAACAACAACAACAATATGAGATCAAAGTGACAACAGAAATTCAAAAGATTCGCTAGGAAACTTAGGATGCAGTGAGTTTCTGTTAGCTAGGGAGGAACAAGTCAGGAACAGAGGATGGTTGTACCACTTGAAGAATGTACAGTGTCATTCAGCTGTACAGGTACAAGCTGTGCAATGCTTGGTGTATGTTTTGCTGCATATATTCTCAATGATAGCAAAAATAAAATAAATTATAATACATTATATATACATACATAAAAGTTTGTGGAAAAATCTCATTATCTTTCAAATCCATTTTTCTACCATTTTTGAAGCCCCCTTGTTTGTATGAGCAAGAACTCAACAAAATGGACTAACCATGTACGTGTGAAGATTGCTGAAATTTATCCTACTATATAGCTACACATATCATGTTTGGTAAAGTGGAAGGTTGGAGAAAAAGAGGAAGACCTCCAACGAGATGGACTGGCACAGTGGCACCAGCAATGGGCTCAAGCATAGCAGTGATTGTGAGGTTGGCCCAGGACTGGGCAGTGTTTCATTCTGATGTGTAAAGGGTCGCTATGAGTTGGTACCGACTTGATGGCAGCTAACAACAACATCCAAAATAATAAGTGAGCAAAGTTTATTTTTTGCAGCAGAATTTGTAAAAGATGAGCTGAGAAACAATTCAAATGACCCTTATCTGGAGATTTCTTAAATAATTACAGCACATTTCAGCACTACAGTACTTAATGGAATACTGTGTGACTTTTAAAAAGATGAGGAAGCTTCTAGCTTATGCAAGAGATACTAGAAATTGAAAAATAGTAGGGAACAAAGCAGGCTATAATAAGCTACAGTTAGTTTAAGAAAGAGGGAAACATGCATATTCATATTTTCTTGGATTTTATATAAAGAAATTTTTGAATATTGCACTAATGTATTTATAAACTAGTAACAGTGGTTACCTGTGGAGGGAAAATTGGTAGGGAAACTTTCCAATGGAATGTCATTTTAAGGTGTTTTTCTTTTTGAAGCGTGCAACTACATTGCTTTAAAAAATAACTTTCTTTTAATTAAAAGAAAAAACAAAAGTATGACTTCAAAGTAAAGGACATGTGGATTCTAATCCTACTTCTCCTAACTCCCTAACAGCATGTTGTTGTTAAGTGCTGTTGAATCAGTTCTGACCCATAACAACCCTGTATAGGGTTTCTGAGGAGGAGCTGGTGAACTTGAACCACCGACTTTGCAGTTCAAACCAACATTGCAGTCCAGCTCATCATCCCACAGCACCACACCAGGACTCCAACTAACAGCATAAGGACTTTAAATGATTAAATCCCGTTTCCTCATCTGTGAAATGGGCCTAGTAGCCATAGCTTCTCCACAGGCACATGTGAAAATTATTAGATGGTGTAAGTAAAAGTGCTTAGCCCAGTGCCTGCCACTGAGTCAACGCTCAATGTGTTTTTTTAAACAGTACCGTTCTGAATACTCAGTGACCTTGAGCTAGTTTCTTCTCTATCTCAGCATCTTATTCTCAAAGTGATGGGGTTGGGTTGAAGAATAACGATGAGTCTACAAAACATCTTATGTCAAGAGTAAACCCAGAGGACATTATGCTGAGTGAAATTAGTCAACCACAAAAGAACAAATATTGTATAAGACCACTATTGTAAAAACTCAAGAAAAGGTTTTCATGCTAAAAGAAACCTTCTTTGATTCCTTTGGCTACCAGGAGGTAAGTGAGAGTAATTTACTGTATACAGGGTGTTGTTGTTGTAGTTAAATGCCATCAAGTCGGTTCATCTAGGGGGTTGTTGTGAGATGCCGTTGAGTTGATTCCGACCCATAGCAACCCTGTATAGGGTTTCCAAGGAGCAGCTCGTGAGCTTGAACCACTAATGTTGCAGTTTAAATGACTTTGCAGTCTGATGCATTAGCCCACAGCACCACACCAGGACTCCATAAATCTAGAGGGTAGACACATGTTAACTTGGGTAACAGGGAAGGCAATATAGAACAAGAGGGAGGTTGGCAGAAGAACAATGAAGACAGGTGAAGACACAGGAAGGGTTAGAGGGATAGAGGTAAATACTGTTGTATACACAACTCTGCAACAGCAGTCTTCTGTGGGTAGATACATGGACATAAACAGGCTGATGGGTATGGAAGGGCAAGTGGGAGTATATCCACAAATATTTAAGGGTTTACACCTATGAATGGGGTGGAGCATATAGAGGGCAAAATCATGAAAAATTCTTCTCAGATATTCAAAAACACCTTGAGGCAATGAGTTGATGGGTCTAGGGGCTCAGGGGACACTATGGTCAATTGGCATAACATAGTCTCCAAAGATAATGTTCTACCTCCCACTGTGGTGAATAGTGACTGGAATCTTAAAATCTCATGAGTGACCCTCTAAGGTGCATCTATTGGTCTCTCCATGCACAGAAGAAAGAAGAGTTATGAAAGGTGAAGATGTTTGGAATTATTCCAATGGACCACGAACATCAGACTCCATGACTCTGAGACCAGGAGAATTAGATGGTGCCTGGTTACCCACTACCAACTCCTCTGAAAAAGATCACATTAGAAGGTCCTGGAGAGAATAGAAGAAAATGTGAAACAAAATTCAAAATTATAAAAAAAGACTGGGCTTATTGGTCAGAGAAAGACTGGAAGAACCAGAAACAATTTCCCTTGGCCACCCTTCAGGTCTGGACCTGAACTATCTTGGTGGTCCCATTTTCAGCAGTAGATAATAGGGAAACAGCAACAGTAGTAGGGTCTGCTCACCATTCAAGGGCAAAAGGGCAACATTTACCTAAGGACAAAGTTCAGAAGGGTTGAGAAGGAGGGTGGAATGGAAATAGAAACCACAGGGAGGAAGCGAGACAATTGTTGTTACGTGGAGGGGATTGAAATTATTGAACTGAAACAAAATGTATCATCTATTTAAATGATTTGCTCTGTAAACCTTCACTCAATTCACAATAAAACTTAAAAAAAAAAAAAAAGATGATGGGGACTGGCCCAAGGCCTGTGGCAGGCCCTCTCTCCTCTCCCACACCCTACAGGCCTGACTTACCCATAGTCCAACAGCCAGGACAAACAGGAAGTACAGAACAAGTACGGCAATGTCACCTGGCTCCAGGCGCCTCTGAGGAAATGCCTCAAGGGGATCTGACTGCGGGGGTTCTGGGCTGCTGATGCCACTCTCCATGGTCCTGAACGGAATCTTCAAACCTGCAAAAGGGTAAATGCATGTCAGATGGCAGAACCTGGCGTCACTCTTCCCACCCCATCCATAGCTGCCTCTCTGGCGCATCCAAATGAGAGGGAGGTGTAGTGTGTCTCCATCCACCCACTTATTCATTCAGTAATATTTACAGTGAAGTTACATCAAATATTCAGCTAATTATTACCAATTCAGCCACTCACTTGGCAACATATAAGCAATTTGAATACTACAGATATTTCACCACTGTATTCAACTTAATAAGCACAAACCCAGGTGTAAGAGGAAAATGAGACAATTTCCTTTTCTGAGGTAACTCACAGCTGGGTGAAGGTCTAACCAATGATTTTATTTGAGGTTTAGCCTCAAGACTATAATTTTGTTTCAATACTGGACTCTGCACATAAATTATCTCATATTTCATATGCACTGATACTTCATAAGCGCTGATTTAGTACCGATCACATGCCAGCCATCATTCTAAGTGTTTGTTGTTGTTGTTAGGCACCATCAAGTTGGTTCTGACTCATAGTGACCCTGTGCACAATAGAATGAAACATTGCCTAGTCCTGTGCCATCCTCACAATTTTTGTTATGCTTTACCCCATTGCTGCTGCCACGATGTTAATCCATCTCATTGAGGGTCTTCCTCTTTTCCACTGACCCTCCACTTTATGAAGTATTACATCCTTCTTTTAGGACTGGTCCCTCTGGATAATACACATCCACATAAGAGAGATGTCCAAAGAATGAGATGAAGTCTCGCCAGCTTGGCTTCTAAGGAGCATTCTAAAGAGCATTCTGGCAATACTTCTTCCTACACAGATTGATTTGTCCTGGCAGTCCATGGTACTTTTAATAATCTTCTCCAACACCATAATTCAAATGCATTGATTCTTCTACTAGCTTCATTATTCATTGTCCAAATTTCCATGCATATGAGATGATTGAAAAAACCATGGCTTGAGTTGGGCACACCTTAATTCTCTTTGATCTATTACACTTTAAACGTATTACACAATACGTTTGCCTAATGCATCTGTTTGATTTCTTGACTGCTGTTTCCATGAATGTTGATTCTGGATCCAGGCAAAATGAAGTCTTTGACAACTTCAGTATTTTCTCTATTTGTCGTGATGCTATTTATGTAAGTGTTTACAAACCTTCCAAGTGGGCATGATTATTATCATCCCCATTTTACAGATGAGGAAACTGGGACACAGAGAAGTTAGTATTTTGCCCAAGGTAATATTACTGGGAAATTATGTTTTATAGCTGCCTTGGTGGCATGATAGTCCAGCACTCAGCTGCTATCTGAAAAGTTAAAATTTAAACCTACATTGTGATCCCATAAAGATTATTTTTGATTGTGTGATGTTGAATCAGTTCCAACTCATAGTGACCCTGTATAGTGTTTCCAAGGCTGTAAGTCTTTACAGGAGCACAAAGCCTCATCTTTTTCCTGATGAGAGGCTGGTGGATTCAGACTGCTGACCTTGGGGCTAGCAGCCAAACTCATAACCCACTACACCACCACAAAGATTGTTGTTGTTGTGTGCCGTGGAGTTGGTTCCGACTCATAACGTCCCTGTATGGAGTTTCCTAGGCTGTAAATCTTTACAGGAGCAGAAAGCCTCATCTTTCTCCCACGGAACTGCTGGTAGTTTTGAACTGCTGACCTTGCGGTTCGCAACCCGATTGATAACCACTATGCTACCAGAGATTACGACCTAGAAAATCCGATGGGGCAATTCTACTCTGTAGCAATGGGTCACTATGAACCAGAAGTGAGTCACTGGCACACAAGGACAGTTCCTTGTTATAGGTGGTCATCTTGTGCATTGCAGGGTTTCTAGCAGCAACACTGATCTCTACTCAAAAGATGTCAGTGACACTCACCCACCTTCCCCCCAGTTAAAAATATCTCCCCCAGGGGTAACATTGCACCCCAACCCAACAAGATGGTGCTTAATAACAGCCTAGAAAGGAGCTCAAGATGGCCAAACTTCATCTCTCATACTTCAGACATATTGTCAGGAGGGACAAATCACTGGAGAAGGATATCATGTTTGGTAAGACAGAGGGTCAGAGAAAAAGAGGAAGACCCCCGATGAGATGGATTGGCCAAGTGGCAGCATCAATGGGCTCAAGTGTGGCAACAGTAGTGAGGTTGGCCCAAGATCAGGCAGTGTTTTGTTCTGCTGTGCATAAGGTCGCTATGGGTCGGTACTGACTCGATGGTACCTAACAAGAATAAACAGAAAGGAGCTCTGGTAGCGTAGTGGTTACGAATCAGGCTATGAACCACAAGGTCAGCAGTTTGAAACTACCAGCTGTTCTGCAGGAGAAAGATGAGGCTTTCTGCTCCCATAAAGATTTACAGCCTCCAAAACCCTATACAGGGTCGCTGTAAGTCAGAACTGACTCTATGGCACATAACAACAACAACAACAACCTAAGCTGCGTTAGAGAAATACAAGATGTTACTCATTAGAAACAATACCTCCAGGGGGCTCTCGATGATATGTAAATTCCATTCCCTTGCCAAGTGTAGGTGTTATGAATCAGGCTGCGAATCTTAAGGTCAGCAGTTCGAAACTACCAGCTGTTCCATGGGAGAAAGATGAGGCTTTCTGCTCCTGCAAAGATTTACAGCCTTGGAAACCCTGTACAGGGTTGCTATGAGTCAGAACCGACTCCATGGTATATAACCACCACCTCTAGGGTTGGGCCTTGATTTGTTTCATGTTGAGGGGAAACTTAGTTTCTCAGACCTGCGCCATGGAGGCCCTCTCCAGGAAGAGAACACACAATAACCATTGATCCCTACTAGCATGTATGCAGAGGAAAGAAGAAAGGATAGGAAAAACAGAAGAGAAACAGAGAGAGGGAAGACCCACAGATTCACTAGTACTGAACATTCCCAGCTGGGACACTTACCAGCTATAATGCAAGAGTAAGTAGCAGATGTTAGAATTCCAATCCAGATCACCCTTCACCTCTCTGAGCCTCAGTTAGAGCTAGGTTTTACTGTCATCTGTAAAATGGGATGATAGTAATAATACTTGCTCAGGAATAATTTAACTAAGTCAGAGATCTGCAAGGTCTCAGTGCAAGAAGGCACATGGATGAGGGTGGGGAAGAGGGAGGGGCTGGAGTTGGAGGCTTCTTAGAGGAGAGTTAAACTAGGAATTGCATATTCTGGAAGCTTGAGGAGGGAGAGACTGTCTGAAGGACTGTCTCAAAGGTGAAGACCTTAGTAGGTAGCTAGTGCTCTTGTTCCACGTTGTTGTTGGTAAGTGCCATCGAGTTGGTTCCGACCCATAGCAACCCTGCTTAGGGTTTTCAAGGAGCATCTGGTGAGCTTGAATCGCCAACCTTGTGGTTCAAACCAACTTTGTAGCCCAGCGCATTACCCCACAGTGCCACACCAGGGTTACAAATGAGGAAATTGAGTCTCAGAGAAGTTTAGGATCAGGTCTAAAATCACAGGATGATGAATGGTAGAGCCAGGAGTCAAATCTAGGCCTGTCCGTGTTCAGAGTCTGTGTTTCCAACACTGCCCCTCCCAAAACAGGGGATTTAGGGGAAGAAAAGGATTAAAGGCAAAAGAAGCCATTTATGGGATATGATGATGAATGGAGCCCTGGCGTGGTGCTGCAGGATAACACGCTGGATCACAAGGTCTGTGGTTCAAACCCACCAGCCACTCCTTGGGTCTCTATGGGTCCAAACTGACTTCATGGGACTTAACAACAACAATGATGATGAATTGGGGAGTGGGGCAAATGGTCTTAGAACTCATTAGGTCTAAAAGGGAGGAAGAGGAGGAGGAAGGAAGGGAGGGCCATGGACTGACTAGTGAGCCTGCCCTCCCCTTGTCCCCAGTCTCCAGCCCTCCCCTCATCTCCGCCCTCCCCTTGCCTTGTCTCTGCCTGCTGGGCACAGAGGGATGGGAGTCCCAGGGCACAGATAAACAAGTTATTCATCACTGTTGTCAGGCTTTCAGGCTAAGCAGCCGGGGAGGCTGGCATGGACTCCAAGCTCTTCCTGAATCCCAGGGAGGTGGGGGCTCTGCACAGGAGGGACTTGCCTCCTTCTTTTTGGTGGAAATAATGGCACCAAGCAGAGAGGTTGTGGGACCTAGTGCTGTGACCCAGCTGGGGTGCAAATTCACAGGATGAGCTTAGAGGAGAACTAGCTCCACCCGCAGCCCTCAATCTGCCCCTTCTTCAACAAATATGTGCTAAATGTATAACAATTGTTGAGAGCTACGGAGTCGGGAGTCGGTCCCAACCCATAGGGACCCTGTATAGAGTTTCTGAGGAGCAGCTGATGAGCTTAAACAGCCAACCTTGTGGTTCAAATCGACCTTGCAGTTCAGCGCATTAACCCACAGCGCCACATCAGGATTCCTAAACACCTCTAAAATCGAGTGAGCACTGTTTCTAGTTAATTGGCTGGCATGGAGCCCACTTTACATATATCGTCTTATTTAACCCTTATGTCAGCTCTGTGGGGCCAATACTATTACACCTCCATTTACAAACAGGAAACAGAGGCAGGAAGGGGTCAAAGTCATCTGGGGTCAGGAACTGGCTCTACTATTTGCTTCTAGGTCCTAGTAAGTGACATACTAAATGTCAGAAGGGAGATTCAAACCCAGGTCTTGTAAGTGCCCGAGATGAGATTCAAACCCTGATCATCCTTCCCTCACTTCCCGTGGCCTTCTTTCTTTCTCACCTCTCCTCCTTTCCAGTTTCCTCTCTCTTCCTCAGTTTCATTTTCACAAACATGTATTGGGCACAAGCTGTGTACCAGGCTCTGTGTTAAGTACTGGAGACTCCGTGGAATAAACAGTGTAGATCTTTGAGTACTTTTAATATGTCATTGTTATTAGGTGTCTCAGTACCAGGCACAGTGCAGGGCACAGAGGACAAAGTGGCGAACAAGGAAGACATGGTCTCCAGCCTCACAAAGTTTCC